TGGAGCTAGAAGTGGTAATTCCAGCCACTCAGGATTTTCAGTTTGAGGCCAGCCTGGGCAACTTAGCAACCACCTATCTCAAAATAATTTCTTTTTTAAAAGGCTGGCAATGTAGCCCAATGGTAAATATGCCTCGTGTGCATGAGGCCCTGGATTCACTCCCCAGCATGGCCAAAATAAAGCATTGTGCAATAACTCCCAATATACTACCTCAGGGAAGGGGGCTCCTTATATGCATAGTGTAGTTTCCCCTCTCAACACAAAATGGTCTGTTTTCTCCTGAAATCGCTCTTCTGCTAACTGCCCACAGGTTTAAGAATCTCTGGCCTAGGCAGAGCCTAAGTTTTCTGTGTAGGAGCAACATAAGAAGTGTTCAAGGCCGGACAGATAGCTCAGCGGATTAAAGTGCCTGCTTAGGCAGAGAACAGGGATCAGCAGGCTGTGCTGGCCCCACCTCCAGGGCACGCTGAGACAGGCAACAGACTGGGCATGGTGACGCGCACCTGTAATCCCAGCACTTGGGAGGCTGAAAACGGGAGGATCACTACAAGTCTTTTCTGTGTAGTGAGACTCTGTAGACCCTGTACTAAATACAAAAAAAAAGGAAACGTTCACTGTCCTGGAGTCCAGTTCTCCCTCCCCACTCTATGGCAGCAGTGGGAATGGTAACAAGAATCAAGGAGAACACCCAGGAGTAGAAATTAATTGAATGGGAGCTCGGCTCCAGAGGGTGTGTGGGCGCCATGTCCGGCAGCGAAGGTGGCAAGAAGCAGCCCCTGAAGCAGCCCAAGAAACAGGCCAAGGAGATGGACGAGGAAGATACAGTGTTCAAACAGAAGCAAAAGGAAGAGCAGAAGAAACTTGGCCACAGGTGAAATTAAGAAATCTGGCAAAAAATAAACTGTTCCTTGTGTGTACGGTGATGGTGAGCCTGGATTCCAGTCCTATTCAGCTACCTGGATGCCCTGCCATAGCATCTCTTGACACCTGTAACTACCGTGAAGTGTGTTCTTGGAGTCTGTTGTACATGTAAGAATAAAACTTTATTTAAAAAAAGAAGGAAAAAAAAATCAAAAAAAAAAAAAGAAAGAAATTAATTGAATGAGGTTTCCTACCTCTTTCTGGGCCCCGCAAGACTTCTTTACCACAAACAGCCCCTCACATGACTTCACCTACAGCATTCATGCACAGATTGGCAACTGTTTCCCTCTGGCCTACATTCTGGCTCTGAGCTGATGTCTTTCCATATTTATTCATATTTCACAGGAGGTTCACAAACTTCTGAAATGGAGAAACTTGTTTTGCGCTCAATTTCTCATTTCACTCAGGGCTGCTGAGAAAAGTTGTACAAGACAAGAAGAGCGGGCAGCATCCTGGCCCCAAACCCGGCTGGAGCAGAAATATTCACCTAGAAAGGACAGGCTCCGCCAGGTAAAACTGGAAGGAACCTGACAGAGGGGGGACAGATTTGGAAATGTCCCCATGGGTATAACAGGAAGGGACTCAGCCGGGAGGATGGGGCCTTGTGCCCGGCCTCTGTAATCTGATGCCTCACTGCCTTCCTCACCCTAGTGGAGTGAGGAAGGCAGTGAGGTGGAGGTGGAGGTAGAGACAGATGCACCCTTGGCCTTTGCAGCAAGTACTGGACTCACAATCTTCTCCCATGGTTCCCCCCGACTGCTCCCCACTGTCCACTCAGTGCCAGGCAACTGTTCCTTCTGTTCCTACCTTTCCTCTAGGCTCCATCCAGCACTTAATCCCACTGTATTTCTCAGCTTCTTACCGGAGCACACGCAAGCCGGTCCCCTACTTAGCATGCTGTTCCCCACTAGGAACTCAGTGCTCTTCCTGGCTCAGGCCAAATGCAAAGACGCTGCCATGCTAGCAGCACGAGTGCTCTGAGGTCAGAGAGAAATGCGTGTGAATCTTGGGTACTCAACTCCCTAGCCATGCAACTATGCCATCAGCCTGCAAGATGGTCCCCACCAATCCTGCTGCTGGCATTCAAATCCTTCATTGGCCTGTTTAATGTTGCTGCACAGAATAGCACAGACTGGCAGCTAATAAAGGATGTGTTTCTCATTCTTCTGGAGACCGAGAGCTCTGACAGCAACGTGGCAGCAACAGTGAGGTCCTTCTATGCATCCCAGGGCGGGAGGTGGGGGGCAAGGACATGAGCACACAGAGGCACACGGGAGGAAGGGGCTGGGGAGCGGGGGGGCGAATGTGCACAAGCGACTGGCTTCACGGCCCCAACTCCTTTCATAACCAGTACTAGTCCACTGCTGGGATAACACCTTCACTAGGCCCCACTCCCTGCCTGGCTCATGAGTGGCCAACACGAGCACAGAAGCAGTGCATCACTTGGAACTAGGTGATAAAAGAAACCATGGTGTTGCCTTGGGCTTTTGCTCTCCTCTTCCAGCTCCCTCCAATTACCTGCCCTCAGAGAAGCCAGCCGCCATTTAAGCAGCTCTGAGGAGAGATTCATCTGGTGAAGAAAAAGGCTGCCAGCAACCAGTGGGTGATGTGGAAGCAGTTCTGTGTCCACGGCAGCCCCAGTCAGCACTCTGACTGGCTCTGCCAGAGACCCTGTGGCAAAACTGTCCATCTTGAGCATCCCTTTGCATTCCCAAGGCACAGAAACTACGAGATGGTGAGCACTTGTTTGAAAGCACTAGGTTAGGGTTTGGTACATAGCAACAGACAACTAATAACTTAGATAGGAACGATAACAACCCTGGAGGTACAGTAAGGAAATCCGGGTTCAAGCCCAGGCAGTGATACTAAATAACAGAACCACCTAGACAATGAACACGATCTCCTGAGCCTCAGTTTCCTTACTTATGAAATGAGAAAATGGTAACTATCATGATCAATGCTACAAAGCAAATAGCATATTCTAAAAGCAGAACATAAAATACGCTACAAATAAAGTGTACAGCACAAACAAATCTGCTTTCTAAGACACTGAGGTTCACAGACTGCATCTAAAGTAAGTAGAAAACTCATCTGCTAAATGTTATAAAAAGCAGCACCATTGGTCTTTGAATTAAGGATCTGACTCCTAAACACTCAAGACAAAAAATGTAAACTGCAGACTACTTAAATTAAGACTAAAATTTACTCCAGACCTATGAAACCAAGACTAGTCTACAAGCAATCTAGAAAGCTGGGGGTCTACCCTACACAGGGAGCTAAATCCCTTACCTCTCCCTAGATCCCAGGATTGGTACCAAAATAAGGTACAACAAGCTTACTGTGCAGCAAGTTGTCATTTGCCCCAAATAATGGTGGTGACAGGGCCAGGGCTATACCTCAGTGGTGCAGCACCTCCCTAGCAAGCGCGAGGTCCAGAGTTCAATCCCAGGTACCAAAAAAGAAAATAGTAAAAAAAAAAAAAAATCAGTGGTGACAATTCTATACCCAGACCCAAATGAGATGCTTTTGAAGAAAATCATAACTATACCAAAAAATATATACATCAGGAAAAGTAAAACTTTCATAACTTAGTACTCAATTTACTGAGACATCATGAGAGTAATACAAGTTACTTTCAGCCTCTGTAATTACAAGAGGTGCTGAAAGCAGTCACCACTCCTTCCCAGACACTTAGCAGTACAGCAAACTGCTGAAGTGTGGACACACTCTTTTGGTTTTTTTTTTCCTGCGGAACCGGGGATTGAACTCAGGCCCTTGCACTTGCCAGGGAAGCGCTTATTCCACTGAGCCATCTCCCCGGCCCTGGACACACTCTTTTGGTGGACTCTGTGCACTTACATGGAATCACACTGATACAGGACAACTCTTCTGGGTTAATAAAGAGAAGGATGTACAAGTAACAAAGGAAAAAAACTTAAGTTTTATAAAGACATGAGTTTCAGTTACCTCTGAGCACCCTCATCACTAAGAACTATGAGGGACAGTGAGGTCACCCCCAGAGGCCTCTGCAGACATGGTGTCTGTCTCACAGGGCATTGGCTAGGCTGTCATGGCAGTGTCCGCTAAGGACAGAGCAGATGCACCTTCTTGACCTCTTCCTATATTTTTAGGGGGTAGCGGGAAGCACTGAAGTTGAACTCAGGGCCTCCCTACTTTTATATTTTGAGAAACAGTCTTGCTAAGTTGCCCAGACTGGGCTTGAACTCACAGTTCTCCAGCCTCAGCCTCCCAGAGTAGAGGGATTACAGACATGCACCACCAGGCCTGGCTGCTTCTTCTCTTCTAATTACCACTACTCTGACACAAAAGCATAGACAACGAAGTTGGAATTGGACATTTTTGGATTCTCAGACTCCTGGGATCCCTGCTTAAAGCACCTAACTCTTCAGTTTGTCTGAAAGTGACAAAGATATATGCAAGAATCCAAACCTTGGTTTGTGCTTTTCTCTCCTCTGAAAAGATGTACAAAATACTCTGTGACACTTCACGTACAGTGAGTTTTTCTTGAAATAACATATACACGGACTACAACTTTTTGGTTTTCTTTTTCTTTCTTCCTTTTTGGTACCAGGATCAAACTCTGGGCCTTGCACTTATGCCTCTGAGCTGTATCACGGGCCCACTATAACTTTTGCTATCACTTGATTTTTTTCCTTTTTTTGAGACAGGGACTCCCTATATAGCCCAGGCTGGCCTTAAACTAGTGGCAATCTTCCTGCCTCAGCCTCCCCAGGGCTGGAGTTACTGGTGTGCACCATCACGTCCAGCAGCCATTTGTTTCTTTTTGGCAGAACTGGGGATTGAACTCAGGCCCTTGCGTTTGCCAGGCAAGCGCTTATTCTACTGAGCTATCTCCCCGGTCCCCTGCCATCTGTTTCTTTACTATGCGTTTGCTTATACGAAATGAACCATGGTACTTACATGTAGAGATCCATTGGAAACTCCTTCATCATATGTGTTACAATAAACTCTACCATCAGGTCTAAGAGGGGAAAAGAGAAAACCCAGATCAGTGATAATGAAATTCATACCTTGCCTCTGAGTTGGGGAACCCTCCTGAGGGCCATGCACTTACACTGGCGCTGAATGGCATCCACCACCCAGCCTGCACCCATACACACCACCATTTATTTTGCATAAGACACTCTTGCAACGATCTTCGCTCCCTGCCACTTGCAAATTAGCCAAAAAAAATCAGTTCATTGTCCTACTGCCAAAGGAATACCCTGAACTGCCAATAAATTCCAGTTTAAGGGATATCTGTACAGACACTACATATATGGCATTCATCATTCATACTTGCCAGAGCAAAATCTTTTTTTTGTATTTAGTACAGGGTCTATAGGGTCTTACTATAACAGCTCAGACTCCTAGTGATCCTCCTGTTTTCAGCCTCCCAAGCACTGGGATCACAGGGGTACACCACCACGCCCAGTCTCAATCACCATCTCAGCAGGCCCCGAGGGTGGGGTTGGCACAGCACACCAGGCCAGGGATCAAACTCCGGTCCCTGCATCTGCCTAAGGAGGTGCTATAATCCACTCAGCTATCTGGCCGGCCCTCAGAGCAAAATCTTATTCCAACACCAGGGCAATGATGGAACAAGAGAAGAAATTATTAATCACAATCTTATCACTAAGACTTAGCTCTAAAGCTCTATCAGTCTCTCTCAGCTCACTATCAACATGTTTAACAAAGTCTGACCAAGAGGATCTGTAGGGCTAATTACAGTCTTAATTACTATGGGATTATACTCTGGTTTCTCTTCAGATCGTATAAATCTTTTGCCTTTTACTATGGGATTAACAGTTACACTAACCCCCTGGACAAAATGCAAAAGTCTGGACAAACGTCCCCAAAATATAACCCTTCCCTATTAGCTCCGTCAGCCCACTCTCCTCCGCTTGATACAGTCAAGAAGCCTTATGCATCTGCACACTGAACTCCAAACCTCCTGACCACTTCACTCGGCAGTCAGGAGCAAGAAAGGAGGTTAGACTGAAATCTTGATCAGGAGTAAAATATACTGCAAATTTCAATTATGTATGAGGTTGAGGTATAAGGAACGGTTTTTTTCCTTTGATAGCACCCTTTACTGGACATTCTATTCGGTGGATTGCTTTACCAAACACAATAATAAACATGTTTTCTCAACCCAGCAAAGAAGCGTAACTAGTAACTTCTCTAAGAAAGAATAATCTTAATCATGAGAACCTATCACTGCCTTGGAAAAACGGTGACATTTACAACATTAACTCACCCAACACTGAAACAAAAACCACACAACTCACCCAACACTGCACAGACTAAAGGCCGGCAGGGAAGGTTCTTGTCTGCTGCCTTCTTCCTGTGTCTCATAGGCTTCGCCACACAAAAAGGAAAAGGAAATTAGCCAACACCTGAATTGAGAGCAATGGCTCATAATCCTGTTCCTCATGCAAATAAAGTCACTGCTACAGACTTTTCTTCCCCTTTTCCTAGTGGCTGAGGTGGAGTGAGACAAGCAAGACTGGCTTCTGGGTTATCAGCATAGGCCAGGGACAAAGACATAACTCACAGCAGGGGAACTGCCTCCAGGGCACTGGAGCTTAGGACACAAGAAAGCTAATGTTACTTTTATCAATACTGGGCAAGGAGCCAGGGAGACAGCTCAGTAGAATAAATGCTTCCTGGCAAGCACAAGGTTCTAAATTCAATCCCTGGTACTGCCCCAAGATAAAAAATAAGGCGTTTTGGGGGTCAGAGAGATAGCTCAGTAGAATAAGCACTTGCCTGGCAAGCACAAGGATCTAAGTTCAATCCCCGGTTCCGCAAAAAAAAAAAAAAAAAAGGGCGGGGGGAGCTGGATATATGTAGCTCAGTAGTAGAACATCCCTGGGTTCAATCCCCAGTTCCCTTAAAAAAAAAAAAAAAAGAGGTGGCTAATAGTGGCAACAATAGCAGCAGCTGCAAAAACAAAAGTAGGGCCAGGGACTTACCTCAGCAGAATAGGCGCTTGCCTGGCAAGCACAAGGGCCTGAGTTCAATCCCTGGTGTGATTTTCAAATCTAAATCTCAAAATGGTATTTTTTTTTTTCACATACTTCCAAGCTTTAAGATATTCCCTGATCTCCCATACTCTGTATGCCCTACCTTTCAGATGAATAAATCAAAGCACCAGCTAGTCTGTTTCAAATGAAAATGATGCTCCACTTTGGAAAAACAAGCCTTAGACCCATCTACTTGTCAACGTCCAGGTCTTTTATACATTCCATTATTGCAATGGCTGTATGGCTTCGGGTCTATCTCTTGAGAATGAAACAGCTCCACCACACATTTAAGAAGTCTGGCAAGGGTCATGCAAGAACTCTTTGGTACAACTTTCTAGCTACATTTTTTTCTAGCAGGATCAAATTCATCCCAACCTTATCAACCCACAAAACACTAAGAAGAAAAAAAAAAAAGCAAAAGTCGTAATACCTACCATTCTATGCAAGTTTACTCGAAAATTCATGTTGTCATCATGCAAAAATGCATTGGCATACTGATCCTAATGAAAATTTAGAGAAAAAGAAAAAAGTGAGAGCTACACTTAAAGTCTGTAACCCAGCACACTTCCTGCAAACTCCTGGACTTTAAGAACCACTTTCAGATGAGCCTCAGCCTCTACGTCAAGCGCTATTCTGCTATAAGATTTTTTTACTTGGAGATAATTTTCCCTTGTATTTTTAGTCAAAAATCTCTAAGAAGGCTGGAGACATAGTTCAGCAGCATAAGTGCCTGCCTTACAAGTGCAAGATGCCAAGTTTAATCCCCAGTGCCAGAAAAAAAAAAAAAATCGAAGAAAAATTTTAAAATAATAAAAATTAAGACCCAGGAATTTGAGGCAAATAATGAGAGGACGTTGTTTTCTGATTCCCTCTTCCTTCCCATCTGCCCAAAAAGTCAGCTCTGATTGTGACAGCTTGAAGGTCCTCCTGGTGGTGTAAGACACATCAGCAGGCGCCACATGAGACTTGCGGTACAAGAAGGTCTGTGCTCTGCAAGGAATGAGTCCAGCACAGTGGGAGAGAACAGCCACACAGGCATCTCGGAGCCAGCAAGATTTTCTATCCCTGGCTTTCCTGACGACTGGTAGAAAAGCAAAGCCTTCTCACCACAGATTAGTAATAAGAGACCGGGCATGGTGGCACACAGCTGTAATCCCAGCACTGGGGAGGCTGAAAACAGGAGGATCACTAAGAGTCTGAGCTGCGCAGTGAGAGCCTGTACCAGATACATCATAAATAAGTAAGCAAGCAAGCAAGCAGCAAGCACCCTGTGGCCCTAGCCCCACACTTGCTCTGAAGCTGTGACATGCTGCACTAGAACCTGTTATGAGTTGTGAAAAACAACTTTGGCAAAGATTTCACTAGAAAGGTTTTTGAAAAGCAAGTCCAGCAGCCCCAGTGCTGCTAATAAGCAGCTCTTCTATAACCACTCTCCCTGGTTGGTAAGAGGAGGTCATCCTCTGAGAGAGAGCATACAAGAGCAGCGGCTGGGAGACTTGGCGTGTGGACCACCTTCGCTTTTTCTCAACAGAGGAAAGAGCATCGGAAGGAATACTAAAAGAGGAGTTAAAGTCTAAGTTTAGCTCTGACATTACTCAAATTCTGCCACACTCGTACGCCACTGTGGCCCGGGTCAGGTTAGCCCAAATGATCCAATCCAAAGTGCCTTCTCAAAACACTGAAGCACTTTCTCTCCCCTTGGCATTTGTTTTCCACCCAACTACAACAACCGCCCTCCCTGAATGTTCTCCCCCATGTCCCCAAGATACCTGAGCGCCTTTCCTTTTCACTAAATGAGCAGCTTCAAAGAGGTACAGTTTTTTTTTTTTATGTATTTAGTACAGGGTCTACAGGGTGTTCAGGGTCTCACTACACAGATCAGACTCATAGTGATCCTACTATTTTCAGCCTCCCAAGTGCTGGGATTATAGGTGCATGCCACCATGCCCAGTTTCAGGTGTTTTTTTTTTTTTTTTTTTTTTTTAAGAGTTTCTATCTCTTGTTTAAAACTCTGAAAAGTGGGGCTGGTGAGATGGCTCAGTGGTCTAAAGCACCTACTTAGAACAAGCTTAGCAAAGCACAGGGACCGCGGTTCAATCCCCCAGCACCACATGCCAGCCAGCCCCGCCCCCTGGGGGGCTGAGCTGGACACACTCATAAATAAAACAAATAAATTTAAAAATAAAATAAAATAAAACTCTGAAAAGTCAGAACCCTCCAGTTCTCCTGTCACAATTCATTCCCAAGCCCTGAGTAAATGCTGATGGAGCCTCTCTCCCAGGGGGCAGGTACTGAGCCAGCAGTGGGAAGGGAGATGTAGCCCTGGGTCAGCGCTTACGTTTCAAGAGGGAGACCGACGAACTTCCTGGCCCCTTTAGGGCCCTGAACACGAAGTGGGGAACGAAGGCCAGGGTTCATGGCAGAGAGCTGCAGAGACTCACCTCTGCAATACACGTGAGGATGACCAGACAGAGCTTGCCGCTGTGAAGCCTGTGTTCGTCTGTAAAGGAAAAATAAAACCTTTTCTGTACATGCTCCCAGCCACATTTCAACAGAGAACAAATAAGCATAGCACTTTCTTCCCCAGCCCAGCACTCACAAATGAAAATCAAACTACTAAAGAAGTAATTCTTCCTTCCCTCCTAGGCAAAAGAATTCCCCCCGATGATTTTTCCCCCCTTAAATATCCTGGTAGTCTAGGGCTGGGGAGACAGCGTGGCAGGCTAAGCATCTGCCTGGCAGGCACAAAGACCTAGGTTGGACCACCAGTAATGCATGCCCTGCAGGCCCTGGAACTCAAGCAAACCATGCCAGCCACCCAAACCGGACATGGTGGCACACACATATAATCCCAGCACTGGGGAGGCTGAGACAGGAGGATCACTATGAGTACGAGCTGTGTAGCAAGATACTATACCAAATAAATATTTAATTTTTTTTTAAAAAGTGGCGAAAACTAAACTCAAACCATTGTAAACAGAAATGAAAATTACTTAAAAAAAAAAAAAAGAGGGCCGAGGAGACAGCTCAGTAGAATAAGCACTTGCCTGGCAAATGCAAGGTCCTGAGTTCAATCCCCAGTACCACAAAAATAAATAAATAAATAAAGCCTGGTAGTCTGTTAAGCACCTTTTGGAGAGCCTCTAACCCCTGTAAGGGCTTTACTGTCTTGAGCCAGGGCTTTAGCCTACAGGTCAGCACCTTTGTTCCCCAGGGCTGGGGCCTGAGCCCAAGCCCTTGCATATCCTAGGCAAGGGCTCCACCACTAAGCTACACCCCTAACCTCAGCCTTTTGCTTCTGAGTAGTCAGATGCCTTTTTTCCCCTCATCCACCAGCTATAAGCACCATCACTGGTATCTATCTACCATAAGATCTAGGAAAGATCCTAACTGTTGATAGCAAAAATGGCAGTAAAATCAGAAATAAACTAGAGACCAGACCCAAGCCCAAGCTTCTCCTTCCGATGTGCTTGTTATTTATGACCTGGAAAGATGGGAACTCATCATGTTTCTTCCTAACCAAATTATTCATTCAACAAATATTTACTTCATACCTACCATGTGGCAAAAAAAAAAAAAAAAAAAAAAAAAAAAGCTTACTTTTTGGAAGTGTTTTCAATATTATTAGAGCAAAAAAAAAAAAAAAAAAAAACTGACAAGGACAGGGCATAAGAGGAGATGGGTCTCACAAATACATTCATCTCTCCTTAAACAGACAATACAAAGGGAGAGAAAGCCAAGAAAAAGTTGCTTCTGTGGTTTCTCCTAAAAACACAATGTGATCCTGGGGGCTGGGTGTCAGGGCTCACACTGAGATGTTCCTCCAAAGCCTCACGTGGCACGAGCAGGATTTGTCAGAGGTGGCCAGATCTAGGTTGCATGAGGCTGGGATAATGGAGTGACAGTGGAAGTAAGGTACCCCCATTCTGGGTGTAAGTGCTGCCCACCCTTCGGGCAGGGATAGAGGAGGGCTGCCACCACAGTATGCTGCTGCCACCGCTGCTGCATTTCTGCTGCCTCCTGCCTGCTCTGCGAGGCCCCTCTGCCACACCAACTTGCCTCAGAGCCAGCCAATTATGGACTGAAACTTCCGCAAACTATGATCTTATAAATAAACCTTTCCTCCTTTAGGCACTGGGTATTTTGTCTCAGCAATAAGAAACATAACTGAGATACCAGGGCATGGTGCAACAGACCAGAGGCCAAGACAGGAAAACAGATGGTGCAATGAAGTCACCCAAGGGTCATTTTCTCCCCATTTTTAAAATTAACTCTTCATCATACCGAACCTTGCCCTTTGCCAAATTTAGGCTACCTAGTGGGGAAAAAAAAAAAACCTAACCAAGCCTGCCTTTGGAGGCCCTGAAACCACCCATATTGAATCAGTTTTTATTTTCTTGGCAATGTTGAAGATTTGATGCGGGGCCTTACACATGCTAGGCCAGTGCTCTACTGCTGAGCTATATCCCCAGGTCCCCATACAGAATTAATTAGCCCACAACTTCAGCTTCTATTCTACAGACTGTGAAGTAACCACGACAAAGAGGCTTATATAATCATGAAAGCTAAAAATGAGTTCCAAGAGCCTCAGTTCACTATATTATATCAAGTAAAGCTAAAAGTTCATTTTCTGGGTCACGTCTATATAATTTCTCTCTCCCACAGTTGTTGCAAGAAGCAATAGCCTCAGGGAACTCTGGCACACAGAGCCTTGTTATCACTGTCTGCCGGATCTCACCGGCCACATCTCAGAGGCTCGCCTACCTCACGGCTCCCAGTGGGCTGCTCTATGTTGAAAATCCATGCTGGGAGTACCTGGATCTATAGCATCCCTGTGAAAAACTTGATTTTTTGTTTGTTTTTTGTTTTTCTATTTAGTACAGGGTCTACAGGGTCTCACTACATAGATTGAACTTTTAGTGATCCACCTGTGTTCAGCCTCCCAAGAGCTGGGATTACAGGCATGTGCCACCACATCCAGTCTCAATCACTGTCTCAGTGCGGGCCAGCATAACACGCCCCGGGGATCAAACCCAGCAGCTGTGTCTGCCTAAGCAGGTGCTTTCATCCCTCGAGCTATTTGAACAGCCCAGAAAACTTGTTCTTGAAGGAGCACACTCACATGACAGAGGAGACAAGATGACTCTCAGGCTGCAGGGCCGAGCTCGCCCACAGTGAACGCAGTGTTCTGAGTCTCACATGGCTTAGCCGTGCTCACCTGGCACCCGCGGCCTGGCAACTCTTCACTCCCGTGTCTGTATTTCAGCTCTTCTACCTCTGTCCGCCCATGTTTCTTCCTCACTTTGAAAGGCAGGGTACTTGGTCTTCCCTCCAATACCTTCAAACCAAAAAACTAGCCCTCACCTAACAAATAAAAGCTGCTAAAGGCACATTAAATGTCTATAGGAAGACTAATCTTCCTGCCATGGCCCCTGGCTTAATGACTCACAAGGCATTTCTCTCTCCTTACAGCTTCTACGGTGAAATTGGTTTTCTGATATCTAAAAGTCTAATGTTTGTCTACAGACTATAATTTAATAACTCAAAATTCATCAACTCAACAGTTGGTTCCTAAAATAAGATTTAAAGATTCTTATAGGAAACAGAGCTGGGAAATAGCTCAACAGCCTAAGCACCTGCCTTGCAAGCTCAAGGTCCCAAGTTGGAACACTGGTACCGCAAAAAAACAAAAAGAAAGAAAGAAAAAAACTGGGCACGGTAGTACACACCTATAAACCTAGCATGTAGGAAGCTGAAGCAGGAAGATAGCAAGTTTGAGGCTAGCCTGAGCTATACAACAAAATCCTATCTCAAAAAATCAAAAAGATTCTTATAAAGCACTTTTTTTTTCCTTCCACAAGCTGGGCTTAAACCCAGGGCCTTTGCCAAGCTGCTCCTTAGCATTTTGGGGGCAGTTAGGTTGAGGGAGGTGGGACAGGGCCTCAGTAAGTCACTAACTGGGCTTAGCTGGGATCAAGTTTCCAACCCTTCGGCCTCAGTCTTCCACACTGCTAGGATTTCTGGTGCGTATCACCACACCTGGCTAGGAAGCCTAAAGGAAAGAGCGCTGTACGTGCCAGTGCACTAACAGTGATTTACTTTGAAAACCTGAGTAGAAAGGACTTCTACTTTCTAAGCTAACTATTGCTGATTGTTTTAATGTTTAACAAGTAATATTTCGACTGCTTGTGTAATTAGAAAATAAAATCCTGGGGGCCAGGGAGATGGTTCAGTAGAACAAGCGCTTCCCTGGCAAGCACAAGGGCCTGAATTCAATCCCCAGTTCTGCAACAAAAAAAAAAAAAAAGAAAGAAAGAAAATCCTTCTAAATGGGAGAAGCCCACTGGGTCATCCTTTAGGAACCAATAAAATGCTACTGAAAATGTCCACAGAGGCCAAGCGCAGTGAGGAAGAGCAAAGACAACTGCAGTGCAAGGCCACAGAACAGCTCAGTGAAAACTGGGCTCCCAATCATTTTTTTAAAGGGCTGGGATGTGGCTTAGTGCTACAGTGCTCACCTAGCATGCAGAAAGCCCTGGTTTCAATTTCCAATACCTTAAAAAAAAGCTCCCTAAAATGCCCAGTATGCTGATCCCCAGTACAGGGGGCGGGAGGAGTCAGCCTGCATGGTTCTTTGGACTCATACATGAAGTGTAATCAAAACCTGCAATGAATGTTCACAGTTTTAAATGTACTGCAGTAAAAGACACGTTACCATTAACCTCCCTCAAGATATTTGCCCTGGCTTGGAGCACCCTTATCCCACTATCATCCTTGCCACTTTATGAAGCAGTCATGGAAATCCTTTTTCATGTATGCCTTCAGTTTTGCTGTCAGGGCTGCCTAAATTGATTGCAAATGTTTACCTTTTGCTAGTTTATATCCAGATGTCCCCCAAGAGCTCCACACACTCATAGACAGGGGCCTCAGAGGGGGCTAGATTACGGGGCTTAGAGCTGGCTTGCTGTTAGGAGGGTCTGGTCCAAAGTGGCACACTGGATTAAGAGCTAAAAGGGTGCATCTCCCCCATCAGCTCACCCTACCTGCGCAGCTTCCTCTCTACCCACCTGAATTGTGCCATCCTGCCTTGAGACCAGCTGACTAAAACATGGGGTAAAATAATCCTCTCTCCTTTGATCTGCAGGTTTTAGGTATTGTGTCTCAGTGACAAGACAGTAACTAAGACACCCTTCATGACCATTTGAACTTTGGAGAAGAATCAGAAGACTGTAGGGTAAGGGCTGGCCAGATAGCTCAGTGGACTAACGCAGCTGCCCAGGCAGAGCGCAGCGCAGCAGCTGGAGAACCAGCATGCTATGTTGGCCCCGCCCCTGGGGCACACTGACACAACAATTGGGTGCGGTGGCATGCTTGGCAGGCTGCAAACAGAAGAATCGCTATGAATCCAATCTAGGTAGTGAGACCCTGCAGACCCTGTACCAAACACATTTAAAAAAAAAGTGCCAGGTGCCAGACCCAGTGCACAAGGCGGAAGAGGACCCACCATGATGTTTTCCTAAGGCTGCCCTTTCCCTGGATGCCACTTGGCAGTAGCATTCACCAAATTTTTATCACACCTCACAAAGACAAACAGGACTTCAAACCAGGTGTGGTGGCACGTGTCTATAATCCCAGCATTTGGAAGGCAGAGGCAGGAGGATACTGTGAGCTTAAAGCCCGCCTGAACCACATGGTGACTGCCTCAAAAAAAAAAAAAGGAAGGAAAGGAACGGAAAAGGAAAGGGAAAGGCAAAGGTTAAAGGAAAAGGAAAGGGAAAGGAGACCTCCAAGAACTACTTCAGAGAATGACAAGACGCTGGCATCGTGGCTCACATCTGTAGGAGGCTAAGGGGCCAGCATGGGCTACATAGTTCAAGCCAGGCTAAACTATACGGTAAGATGCTAACCCAAAAAACAAAATTAAAAAAAGAAAACAAGGAGCAAAAAAGATGGTAAGTGTGTTGGGAAGGCGGGAAGACTTTGCGGGGATGAATGGCAATGTGTCTTTAACTCTAACAAAAAATGTCATTCAAATGCTCACTGTATATTTTGATCACATCTTGTATATTGGATTTTTTCACTTCTTTGAAACAATTTGACAAGGCCAGGTGTAGCTATACACAGCTGTGATCCCAGCACTTCGGACGCTGAGACAGCAGGACAGCTGCAGCCCAGGCCAGTCTGGGCTACACAGTGAGTTCTAGGCCAGCCTAGCCTATGCAGCAAGACCTTACCGCAAAACAACAACATGCGGAGCAAAACACTAGATCAGGGCTGAAGAAGTAGTTCAGTGGAGCGAATCCCAAGTCTGAACCTAGCCTGAGCAACTTCGTGACATAGCTAGACCACATTTCAGCCAGGCGTGGTAGCCACATCTAGGATTTTTTTTTTTTTTTTTTTTTTTTTGCTCCGCATGCCTTCAGGGCAGGTTTGGCTGGCTGGAGTTGTGGGGATCGAACCACAGCAACCTGAGCCTGACTGCTTTGTTGAAGCAGCCACTTAATGAACTGAGCTAAGGGGCGGGCCCCAGGTAGCCACATCTATAATCCTAACATTTGAGAGACTAAGGCAGGAGGATTGCCATCAGTTTGAGGCCAGCCTGGGCTACACATCAAGTTGAAGGCTAGCCTAAACTACATAATGAGACACTGTCTCAAAAAAAAAAAAAAAAAAAAAAAAAAAAATTAAAAACTGGCTATGGAGTTAGCTCAACATGAAGGCCCTCAGTTCAATCCCCATTAACACAAAATTAAATTAAAATAAATTAATTTTTCCCATAGCCAGTCCTCCCCTCCTTCCTCTCTGTACTTCCAGGATGAGTTCTAACACTTCTACTTGAAGCACCAAAGAGCAGAGTCTGAGTCTCACCTTTCCTACTGTACCCTGCACAAGTCTTCTAATTCTCACCACATGAGTTCCCCAAAGTGTGCTAACCCCCACTTCCCACACAGAAGAGTCCGCATCTATCCACCAAGATTTGCTAAGCTTGCTAGCACTTGCAAAGACCAATTTTTTTTTCCTGTTCTATTTCTGAACACTCCCCTCCAGCTTGAGGTTTTCCTAACACTACTTAATCACCATCTAGCAGTGAGAAATCACTGTTTTCCAGGAGTCAGGACCATGACCTTGCATAGGAAGCCCCAAGAGTTCATCCTGTGAAAGCCTCCAATGTTAGCACTTGTCTCTATTCTAGCTGTCCGCCATATGTCCTACTTTCTGTGCCCCAATTAATACACCTTACCTTTGGTATCTTGCATGACAATTGAGCTATACTTTAAGAAAGTAATCAGTAGGTTACTGGTCTGTACATCTGCATCCAGTGGGAGTTCCACAGAACTTATAACTGGAATAGAAAAGATAAAATGTGCTTAGCCCATAACATATTTCCATATAATACTCCTACCCACATAGCCAATTTGCCAGCAGGCCAGAAAATGACTAAATAAGTTTTTCCCACAACAGAGGGAGGACCAGGAACTTACCATAAAACCTGTATCTACTCTTCCTAAGCATCTAGAGTCCTTCCTACTTCCCTCCCAGACTACCGCCAACAACCTTTTCTTCCATCCAGAGTCAGTCTCTAGGAACAGTGTTTACTACCCAAAGTCCTAGGAAGGGTATGTTGACACCACTTCCAAGTTGACACCACTTCCAACCCCAAGTAACCCCGAAAGGGTTCAGGGCTCTTCTTTAAGACTCTGTGGTTCCTACCTTAAAAAAAAAAAAAAAAAATCTTATTGAATATAAATGAACTGGGGCCAGGGAGATGGCTCCGTGGAATAAGTGCTTCCCTGTCAAGTGCAAGGGCCTGAGTTCAATCCCCAGTTCCGCCAAAAAAAAAAAAAGGCAGCCTGAATATAAATGAACTTTGCTGAGTCTTTTGCTTAAAATATATCATAACTCCTTCCTAATAAGGAAAATTCTTCCTCAAATTTGAGAACAAGAATTCAGATTAGAAGTGCCAAAGATACAAATTATACTTTGTTTCACCATGCTGGGTCTTAAACCCAGGGCCTTGGGTGTATAAGGAAAGGGTTCTACCACTGAGCTCTATTACATTGCCTGGCTAGAGGTATCCAAGCTAAATGAGGCAAAAGTTAAACTTAAATTCTGCTGCTTAATCCCCTACCCCCAGAACTGGAACCTGAAAAGCAAAAACAGACTACAACAGGAAGACATCGATGGGGACAGCCCAGACCCAAGGCTGATAGATACGGCTGCTATTTCTAAGAGAGATCTCCAAACTCCTACTCTTTGAGTCACACTCGGAGTAAACACTAAGCGACCAGACCAGGACTGACCCACACAGAACACAGACCGACTGCATGCTTCCCAAGAGTCCAAGACTTTCAATTATAATTAGTCATCTTGTTCAGTGCTTTTAAGCTAAGATACAACATATAAACAAAAGGAGCCTCATGACATCCCAGACAAGCTGAAGAATCTACAGCTGAACATTCAGCTGAGTCTGGGATATTATTCATAATATGTATTCATAAACATAACAGATCCCTCTGGAGTTATTATGATGTATGCTGTGAATGTTTATTAACAAGGAGAAATATTTGCATATTATAGGTCCCTAATACGTAGCAAGCACAACCAAAAGCCTTATGGGAAGAAATTAACAAGCCCACCTCTTAGGTGTTTCCCTACAGTTTAGCCCCAAAGAACTAATAAAAGATAAATATACCTTCATGCTGAAATAATAAAAGGGCTTAATTCATGTTATGGGTTAATGGCTGGCATGGTCATTTCAACCACAGCCTCTTCTGAAGCTCAGAGACTGTTAGCATGCCTTTGTCCAGCACACGGGCCAGCGCACCCCAGTGAGGGGAGCTTCTTTCCCACTCACACACAGCAATAACTGGGAACTATCTTACATAATATGGAGAAATATAGAAGTGTATGTATTTTTAGTTTACCAAAGTCCTCTCATGCTAAGGCGGAGTTGTCAAATGTCAAGTCTGAGCTGAGAACAAATGTTACAGCTAAACTGCTGGCTTTTAAAAATAATAGTTCCAGTGACATACCTTTAAATATAACTGGGCTGGGGCTGGTGAGATGGCTCAGTGGTCTAAAGCACCTACTTAGAACAAGCTAAGCTAAGCAAAGCACAGGGACCACGGTTCAATCCCCCAGCACCACATGCCAGCCAGCCCCGCCCCCTGGTGGGCGGAGCTGGCTACACACACACTAAATAAATAATTTTTTTTTTCTTTCTTTTCCCTTTTTTTTTTTTTTTTTTTTTTGGTGGAACCGAGGAATTGATACAGAATTTCACTTAACAAAATAATATGAATTTCACAGTATTTGTTGTAATGCATAGTATTGTCTTCCAACTAGCTATTCATTTTACCAAATATTTGCTGCAAAATTGGAAGAAAAAAAATTAAGAGAAAAAGTACAACCAATTGAAAAAAGGAAAATAAATAATTTTTAAAAATAAAAAAAATGAATAAATATAACTGGGCTACCCAGCAGTACTATGATTAAAACCCAAAAAATTAAAAGTAAGGTTATAACACTAAGGACCCTACAGAAAGGAAATGAGTTATGAGAGACGAAAAAAGAACAAACAGAACAGACAGAATAAAATCCCTCACAAATTAAAATCTCCTTCCAAAGGAAGTATTACTCCTTGATCTCAGCCTTCATGATTCTTCCTAGCAGCTTTTGTCAAGAAAGAGTCACCTGAAAGTGGGAAGACTTCATCTTCCCACTAGAAAAAAATAAAATCCCACTGGTTGTAGGTAAGCAAGCACAAATCCTGTCATTGCATAATCAAGCGTGTGGGCGGAAGTATTCACAATGAATAGTTTGAAAGGCAGTTCTCCAAAGCATCCAAACCCCAACATCACATGGAAATGAGGTATATATTTATATATGGCTTTCTATATCCATGGCAACCAGGCAGGTTTCATTCTTAAAGAGAAAGTACAGTATTTCCATTGGCTTATCTAATGACCTGAATAAACAGACAAGGAGGCAATCCTCACTACTAGCTCCTTCTCATTAAGATATTTTGGAATTTGGCTTTCAATTCTAAGAAGATCCAGTTTGCTGCCATGGATCTGAATATTTATCTATGGCACTTCTTTGCCATAGTTCCTTGTATAGCTTAAACTGCCTTAAAATGCTTACACCATAGTGCTATACAACAATTTAGGGGCTGAGGATGTAGCACAGTGATAAACGGCATGAGGCGCGTTTGAGGCCCAATACCACAGACTTAAAAGAATAACAGCTGGCTGCAGTACACACCCAGTACTCTGGGAAGCTGAGGCAGGAGGACAGCAAGTTTGAGCCCAGCCTGTGACACTTAGTAAGATCCTGTCTCAAAATAAAAATGGGGTAGGAATGTAGCTCAGTGCAAATGCCCTCCCTGGGTTTGAACCCCAATTTTGCTAATAATAATAAAACAGTAACGTTATCCAGGCATTGTGACACACATCTGTAATCTCAGCCAGCACTCAGGTTGAAGCAGGGGTATTACTGTGTTCAAGGTCATCCTGGACTTCATAGTCTGAACTTGTCTCAAAAAAAAGTAAAAACGGGCCAGGGAGATGGCTCAGTGGAATACGCGCTCCCCTGGCAAGCACAAGGGCCTGAGTTCAATCCCTGGTTCCGCCAAAAAAAGTAAAAACAGTAATACTGAGTTCAACCCCTGGCACTGGGGGGGGGGGGGAATTTAAGGGAAAGAAACAGAACAAAGGTTATTTCACATACAAAGAGGAGGGAAACCAGGGGCCTGGGGGCCAGCATGGGCTCCACAGTGACTTCACGGCCAGCCTGGACTACACAGCAAGAACCTTTCTCAAAGAAAAAAAGAAAAAAAAACAGGAGGGAAACAAAGAAAAGATCAAAGTTGGGTTTCCTATACTGCTTATGCAAAATAGGGTCAATGGGGGAGGGAGGTTGGCAAGATATCTCAGCAGACTAAAGCACCCGCTTAGGCAAGGTTAGGCAAGCTTAGGCAAGCACAGGGTGACCTCAGTTCAATCCCTGGCATCACATGCCTTGCCAGCACTGCTCTCAGGGCGGGCTGAGCTGGGCCAGAGCATACGCATAGTGGCGCATGCCTGTAATTCCAGCACTGAGGAGGCTGAAAGCAGGAGGATCACAAGTCTGAGCTGCGTAGTGAGATGCTGCAACAACCAAATACGTAAAAGAAATAAAAAATAGGGTCAATATTTGAGGTATTACATCAAGTATTAATGTGCATTAATTTTAGGCTAAGGTACACTCAGGTTACAACAGACCAATTCAGATACAGCAGCGCAAAGATTTTTAGGACAAATTCGTAACTTCTTTAAGTAATACAAAGAAATCATTATTTACGGAATAGAAAATGATATACATGTATATTGTATGATGTTTAAATTAGTTATACATATCTCTTCTCAAATATAATTTGTTCTGTTTTTTGTCTTTTTGAGACAAGGTCTACACTCTGAAGTTCAGGCTGGCCTCGAACTCCCAACGATCTTCTTGCCTCAGCCTCCCGGTGCTGGAGTGCTGGGGTTACAGGCATGTGCTACCACACCCAGCTCTCTGTTAGCTTGTTTTGTTTTGCTGAGAGTCTCATTATGTAGCATGGGCTGGCCTTGAACTCTAAGGCAAAGCTTCCTGCTTTAGTTTCCCAACTGCGAGAATCAAAGGCTGGGCATTACCACAGCTTGCTAAACGTAATTTATTTTCTGCTGCATTCATACATTCCAGCCATAAGCTTTATAAAATTTATGTGCTAAAATTCCTAATTAACATACACCTAGAGCCCGTCACTGCCAACCGGGGGTGTCAGTCCAACACACAATAGCAGATGAATTCACCTCCTCGTGCATTCAGTCAACAAGCACTCACCACGCACCCAGCACCCAGCACCCAGCACCCAGCACCCAGGCCGTGCTGACCAGGCTGCCAAGCAGAACAGGGTCAGACCGGCTCCGCCAGCCTCCCGCCCACACTGCTACTTCTCCGCCTCAGTTCCCTCACCTGCCAAATGCTTACGGGTTAACATCATTACTGCACACATACTGCAGGACAGTCACAAAGATGGTATTTTTTCATAAAATACTTTATTTGCACTTCACAAGAACAGAGTTCAGGGCTGGAGAGATGGCTCAGTGGTCTAAAGCACCTACTTGGAACAAGCTTGGCAAAGCACAGGGACCGCGGTTCAATCCCCCAGCACCACATGCCAGCCAGCCGCGCCCCCTGGTGGGCTGAGCTGGCCACACACACACACACACACACAAAAGAAAGAAAGAAAGAAAGAAAGAAAGAAAGAAAGAAAGAAAGAAAAGTTCAGCCGAACACACACTGCTGGACTGCAAGACCCCTGTCAGATCTAGCATGCCGTGATTCTAAGACTGTTCCCTGAGGCTACCGTTTTATTGGGTTTACATGGTTTAGTTTGGTTTTTGTTCTTCTTTTTGTTTTTTACTTTGTAGATCTGACTGACCTTGAACTCACTTTGTAGCCCCTGTTGGCCTCAAATTTGCAGCAATCCTCCTGCCGTGGCCTCCTGAGTGCTGGGATTAGGAAAGCATATCAGCACACCTGGCTCAGAAAAAGCACTTAACTGTCTTTTCCACAGTTTTCCTTGGAACTTCAAGAGCCCTGAAGTACAGTACTACATATAAACAAATTTCACTTCTTCTTCTATTTGCTTTTTGTTTTGCTTTTGTTTTCTGAAGCAGCATCTTGCTACGTTTCCCAAACTGGACTGAAACTCCTGAGCTCTGATCTTGCCATCTCAGGCTCTCTGGGACTACAGGCCCTCCACTCCCGACCCAGACGAGGCACACATTTTATCACAACTGCGCTTTTTGCTCAGTACAGCTGTGCTCTCCCTAAAGACCATATCAGCCCAGAAGGCAAACATGCTGCGCTCACCATCTGAGGACGGCGGTGTGGTCCCAAGCGGTGTGACTGGAGTTGTAGGAGTGGGACTGACTGGGGTTGTCACCAAGCCCATTTCTGGATGACTCTGAAAGAGGACACAGATGGCTAAAAAAACTTGAAATGCAGCTCTCCGTGACCATGTCCAGCTGCCCATCCCCAAGTCCTGGTCTTGTAACTATTCTGCACCCTCTTCAGGAAGAACTCCTGAAATTAGTTCCCACGAAGCCCTGATGACTACACTACCACTGCTCGCAGGTCTCTCAAGAAGCTCTGTGAGTTGTCTGGAAGCAACTGGGTGGCCATCATCTAAGTTTCTGCAGAACCATGTTAATAAAAACTAGAGTAAATAAATTAGATGATTTTACATGAAAGTCGACATCTGCGGCCCTGTCAGAACAAAGATCCAGCTAACTATAGATCCTTCTACTGACCATACAATTGACTGACAGATACAGGTGACCCTTCTGCTCTACAAGAGGCAACATGTGTGGGGTGCCAACACCAAGAAACAGAAAGACACCCATCAGGACCCAAACAGATGACTCCCCTGCACACGACTGCCCTGGGCATCCTGCCACACCAACTCTGGAGAAGCAAACTGAGAGCAGCTTGCCTGCTTCCTTTTTTTCTTGCCTGGAACTGAACTTGTGCTTGACAGACAAGGCCTGAGCAACTGAGTTATAGCCTCTTTTTATTGTTTTTTTTTTTCTTTTTGGTTTTTTGAGATAGCATCTCACTATGTAGCCCAGGCTGCCCTCATACTCACTGATCCTCCTGCCTCAGCCTCCCAAGTGTTGGAATTATCAGTGTGCACTCTGGTGTTTAGTTATATGTATGCCTTTCTGCTTTCCAAACCCCTGTGGAATTACAGCTGAAAATAAAATAGGCCATCACTTACTGTATCATACCAATCTGCAGAAAAGTAAAAAACACCCTGTCCAGGATACGGTCAGACAGAAAGCAGAAAGACAGAGAACACCAAGTGCTGCGGCACATGCCTGAGAGGGAGCCTCTCGAGCTGGCACACAGGCGTGCTAAAGCAGGCACAGAACTCAAGCTCATGAAAGCTAGCTTTAAAAAAATGATAGTTTTTTTCCTAAACCCAGACTGTTTAAAATATGCATGTAGGTTTCTTTTCAAGGAAAGTCTGCTTATGCCCCCCCCAAAGGCCAGAAGTGTGTGGAATCCACTCAGTTTTGTTTATTTGTTTTGCTCCGAATGCCTTCAGGGCAGGTTTGGCTGGCTTGAGTTGTGGGGATCAAACCACAGCAACCTGAGCCTGACTGCTTTGCTGACGCAGCTACTTAAAGAACTGAGCTACGGGGCAGGCCCCCTCCACTCAGTTTTAACCACAAAAATAAAGTAATTTTTTTTTTTTTAAAGAAGTGTGCTGCTTTGGAATATACCTTGAAAGACAGTTAACAGTTTTCATGATTGCTAACATAAGAGAGTTATCTACTTTTCTGTCTGTCTCATCTTTCCTCCAAATTTCTTAACTGATTTTAAGATTTTAAGTTTTTATTAGTCAATTTTTTTTTTTTCCACAACTGGGGATTGAACTCAGGACCTTGTGCTTGCCAGGCAAGTGCTTATTCTACTGAGCCATCTCCCCAGCCCCTTATTAGTCAATGTTTGCAGTGCATAATATCACTGTTCACTGTGGGGAGTTGGTACATGCATGTAACACATGTCAATTCTTTTCCCTCCCACTCCATAACTGAGTTTTAAAGAAGAGGTGAAGGTGGTAAAGGACTGGTAAAGCAGCAAGTCAAGGGAGATTAAAAAGAGCTGTCCTTGCCTGGGGTGGTTGCACACACCTGCAATCCCACCCAGCCAGCCTGAACACACAGTGACACTCTAGCTTAAAAGTTAAATGAGGGGCCCGGGGAAATAGCTCAAGCGCAAGGACCTGAGTTCAATCCCTGGTTCTGCCAAAAAAAAAAAAATTAAATTACAGGCCGGAGAGATAGCTCAGTAGAACAAGCGTTTGCCTGGCAAGCACAAAGGCCTGAGTTCAAACCCCAGTTCTGCCACAAAAAAAAAAAAAAAAAATAGCTCAGTAGAACAAGCGTTTGCCTGGCAAGCACAAAGGCCTGAGTTCAAACCCCAGTTCTGCCACAAAAAAAAAAAAAAAAATTAAATTAACTAATTAAAAAATCACAGATAATACTGGGTCTTTCCAATGAGAAAATGAAGTAACTATAAGTCTGTGGGGCTCCCAGAACCAGGCAACTTTGCATGTCATTCAGAACCTCAGGTAAGGTCGGTTTAGTTGAGGCTGTCACGGTATTACTGTTGCCACTTACTGAAAGGAAGTAGAGTTGAAACAACTATGACCAGAGCCTTTTTAAATATATGCATCTGTACAACATTCAGGGAGAAAAATGAGTTGGGGTTCGTAAGGTCACTGACCTGAGCTAGCACCGTGATGAAGTTGCGATTCAAATGGACAGCTTCATAAAGTGCCAGAAGAATGGCCTCGTTGGTTCTAGAGGGAAAGAGACAAACTGGAGGGCTCCGATAGCCAAGGCACCGAAAGCCGCAACTGCCAAGGGAAGTGCTCAGCATCCAGGGGCCCGAGGTGGGGACCAGTCCCGGAGCACTCTCTCCGCCCCACTCACTGTCTCGCCCCTGCCCCAATCAGTTAAACCTCCATCTGGCTCAGATACTCAGTGCTCCCCCATTTCATTCCTGAGAAAGGTCTGTTACTGTTTAAAACCCAAGGAACATTTGCTATTGTCACCAAAATAAGTCTGACTCTGCAAGAGATCACACAAAAGTGACATTTCACACTTTCAGGTCCACCAAGGGAGCTCACACTGAAATCTGACTCACTCCAAGAACATCAAGCACTTACTGTACTGAGATTTTCTCATGGGCATCTGCTATGAACATGCTGCCCACCTATGGAGAAAAGGAGAATTGCAGATTTTATGATAAAGGAAGCCGCAAAAGCTCTATGCCTCTGAAACTGTTTCTCCCCCAGCTGGAGATTAAATCCAGTGCCTTGGCACCAAGCTACGTTCCAAGACTTTTTTTCCCCTAGATCTTTTTTCAATGTTTTATTTTGAGATCTTACTAAATTGCCCAGGATGTGCTCAAAACTGCCATCTTCCTGCCTCTGTCTCTGAGTGCTGCACTACAGCCATGCACCACGACTCCTCAAATCAATAAGGCCTTTAATCAGTGTAAAGCAACACAGAAGGAACTTTAAAAACTTTGAACTCCCTTCCCTAAATATACAGAAAAAATAAAAACTTTGAACTATCAGCCACATACACCTAAATCAGCCCACTCTGAAAATCCTAAAAAACTATAATAAAATTATAAAAACATCACTGAAGCACCATCGCTTTAGAGGAGCTTCAAAGAAACAAATCCCAGTCAGTACCTTTGTCCAGCCCTCCTTTCAGTGCCTGTTTAGTTAACACACAACCAATGAAACTGAAGCAGCATACCCTCATCGCTGTACCTTGCCTGGAAGCTGCTGCTCTGCAGTCCAAAATGAGCTCACACTGACCATCACAAAAGGCCAGTGGCTATATCCAACTAAAGCTGTCTTCAGAGGGACACCTGAGTTTAGGACCAGAGCTATGCCAGGTCCACTGTCCATCTTTCAGATAACAGCCTTTAGTTTCTTTTTTTTGGCGGAACCGGGGATTGAACTCAGGACCTTGCACTTGCCAAGGAAGCACTTATTCCACTGAGCCGTCTCCCCGGCCCTAACAGCCTTTAAGTTTCTGTCCTTCGTCGGGGCAGACAAGTAAGTAAAGAATGTAAGGTGCCTCTAACATGTATGTGAGCAGACCCAAGGAAGATGCCTACCCCTTAAAAACAGCTCCCACTCTGCTTACAAATGCCCAAACAATGGAGCTCCATTTTGTTTGGTATAAAACCTGATTAAAAGTTAAAAATCCTATTATTGTAACCATCCTACTAACCTGTTTTGAAACTGTCTCAATGCTATTTCTTTCTCAATGAAATTTATTTTTAAAAAGTTAAAAATCCTGAAACAATGTAACTATATCTTAAGCTGTATAATCAATGCCAATATAAAAATTCCTGTCTCAGGAGTGGTGGACATGCCTGTCAGCCCCACTGAGGCAGGAGGATCACCACATTCCAGCTCAGCATGGGCAATCTAGGGAGACCCCCGTCTCAAAGTGAGAGGGAGGTGTGGCTTGGTGCTCAAGTCTGAGTTCAGTCCCCAGCACCACAGCTATCTGGCTCATGTATCTCTAGCCAAAGATACCACTCATTTGTGCCTCAGAATTAAGAGTTTATCAGGTTGGGCCGGGGAGATGGCTCAGTGGAATATGTGTTTCCCTGGCAAGTGCAAGGGCCTGAGTTCAATCCCCGTTCTGCAAAAAAAAAAAAGTGTTTATCAAGTTCTTTCCTGAGAGCAGACTTACAGAAGGAAAGAGGAAAGGCTTTGGAGGGAAAACTGTTTCTCTGGGTGGAAAGGAGAGATGGTACTTACGTCTTGCAATAAACTCAGAAACTGTCTTACTCTAGGACTGAATACTTACCTAGCCCCAAATGCCACTGCTGCTAAAATTAAGAAACCTTGCTCTGGAATCAGACCTCTTGCCCCTGACTCTGACCCTTTTTATTTTTTTAATTGTATTTATTTGGTACAGGGTCTCACTACACAGCTTAGACACATAGTGGTCGTCCTCTCTCAGCTTCCCCCAGCACTGAGATTACAGGCATGCATCACCACAGTACTGCAGATCGAACCAGGGTCTGTGTGATTGGCAGGCAGGCATTTAGGCCACCAAGCTATCTCCCCAGCCCCAGACCCGACCCTTTAAAGAAACAGCCTAGAGCACAGGCATAAGCCTTGAGCTCCAGTGCTAGCTCCTGCAGATCCACGGGCACAGCAGACTACGACAGAGCACTCAGGGCAGGACCGTGTTCCACAGGGCTAGTCTCTAAGCAGAGCCAGTTTTCCAGAGAGCAGAATTCTGAGCCTGGCTTGGCAGCACATGCCTACAATCCCAGCACTTGGGAGGCTGACGTAGAAGCACTGCTGAGTTTGAGGCCAGCCTGAGTTCAAGGCCAACCTCAATTACAGAGTGAGGCCCTGCCTGCGGGGTCGGGGACAGAATTCTGGCTTGTAGCAAGTTGAGGGGAAAAAAATCAGTCCCAGAGGAATTAAAGCCCCCCCCCCCCATTCCATGTGGTTTTAGAACCTGCTACAAGAGACACAATTCAAAAAAAACATGCTCCAAACAGCCTCTTTCCTCTCATCAAGCCATCACCTCAAACATCTGAACTTGTGAACCCAGAACTACTTCCCTGCGGACCTCTTGTATTTCTCAGCAGGACAAAAACCACATAGGACTTACCATATTTGTTATAGCAGAGAAAAAACCACTCTGATGTTCTTCTTCCTTGTCTTTATACTGTCTAAACAAAGAGAATCACATTCAGGATTACTTAGCAAAAATGCCTCTGTCCAACGAAAGCGCTGTAACCATCGAGCCCGGACACCCCCCTGCCAGTTCACGGGCGCTCTCTGCTCTTGAGGCACAGTGCACTAAAATGCCAGGCCAATTTGGGAAGAGACTTAGAAAGCAAGCTGCAAAAGTGTGAAACATATGGCTGAGCCATTTATTTCCCAAACAGACTTACTTGAAAAGCGTGACAGTGAAATTGCTTTAAGGTTGTAACAGTAAAAATCTTGTTTGTTTTTGAAGGAAAAGGAGGAAAATCAGAGAACTAAAACATTTGTAGAAATAGAACAGATTTAAAATGGAACAGATTTAAAGTCCCAAAACCTAATTGTGTATGAGGAAAGTCCAGAGAGGAAGAAAAAGTGCCTGCCCTCTTCCAGGTTTAAAGATATTTCTCATTTTCATTCAAAGACCACACACACACCCCCCAAAAAAGAATACCACACTCCTCTCCATATTTATCTAGAAGAAAAATGAGCATCAATGAAGAGCCCCTAGAGAAATTAGGAAACTAGGAAGTTGCGATTAATTACTAACAAGAAAGAAACACACGGCTGGAGTGGCAGCTCAGCGGCAGGGCGCGCTCGCCAAGAGTAAGGCCTGGGGCTCAGCCCCAGGGCCAGAGGGAAAGAGGCCCGTGCTAACTCAACCTTGTTTTCTCCATGTACTTATTTATGTTCTCACTTTCTGATTTTGTGTTACTGGGTCCTGAACCCAGGGCCCTGAGCACACTAAGCATTCTACCGCTGAGCTGTATCCCTTTTTCTCCTGCCCCTTTTCCTTTTTTGGGACATGCAACGGAACCTAGGGCCTTGTATTTGCTTAGCAATACTCTATCACTGAACTATGTCCTCAGCCCTTTTTATTTTACTTTTGGGACAAGGTCTTGCTAAGTTGCCAGAGTTGGCCTCAAACTTGTAATCCGGGCTGGAGAGATGGCTCAGTGGTCTAAAGCACCTACTTAGAACAAGCTTAGCAAAGCCTCGGGGACCGCGGTTCAATCCCCCAGCACCACATGCCAG